AATTAGCATTCAACGATTTGACCATAGAGGTGCTTGAGTTTGCGTTAGAGGATCGTACACTTGGTTGGATATTAGGATGCTCCATTGAAATCGTGGCCATTATGTTCTTGCCACTTCATTTTTCTACAGAAATAATAACAAATTTTCGATTTGAGTAATCCATGAAATTTAATTTTAACATCGTTTTCGTCCAAGCGGCATGTAAATCTCTTTACTTATTTTGTTAATGTTGGCACGATAACAATTTTCATCGATATTCCATATATATTGAATCGATAAAGCTCATGCTAAGGCGGCCTTGAATTATGTATGAAGCACTGTTGAAAATTTCTAAAACTAGGGATTATCCCCTGGTTTACGTCAGCAGCGGCGAACAAATTCTTATACAATATCTTACATTATATTGGGTAAAAATCTTCCTGTAAGTGTAAGGTAATGGTAAGGTAATTAAACGTCTATATTGGCTCATTACTTCCTTATAAAAATTGACCGACCTCTCAGTGAAGGATCATAACATCATTTCTCGGAAGATGAATTTGTTACCATCAACAATTAATGCGTCGGAATTTTTATTTTCATCCATTCATTGCTCGGCAGTTTTTAAATAGAAACTGCGAATCATTTAATCGTTCTGTGCCTTCGTGAAATTTTGTTCATACTTTAATTTGTCGCTATAGATCAGTTTTTGATGTTAATAATTTTAAATGTTTACAATATTCAATTGGCAACATTGAAGCGAAAATTCCATACTGCAATGCACTGTAAGATGTCGCTATTTTTTTTTAGTCACGACAACGTTACGTGGAGGCTCCTAGGTCGGTCATTATTATTATTCAGGCTGCGACCTATAAGGCTATATTATAACAGGTCTAGGTGCAGTGAGTCTCATGACATTTTGTATTGCCGTAGTGCATTTAATAGTTCATAAATGCATCTCGAAGACTGAATACAGAAATACATGAAACATAATGACTCATATATTGTGGTGCGAATCTAAATTTCTTCTCATTCTTGACGCATTTGGCAGGGTGGTCACCTACGCGGTAGGCCTGAGCTGTGTGTTGGCGACAGCAGAGACCGCGTTATTGCTAACATCTTTTGTCTTGTGTGGCTCTCGATCGAAATAGTTTTTATTTATACCCATTACCCAAATAGAAGTTTTCGTTCTATTTGGTAATGAAATGGACGGAATCATTTGTGTTCTGTAAGATTAGAAGAAACATGTAAATAGTTACCATATATAACATTCAACTTCGGTTTCAAGCTACGGTATCAGGAATACAATGCGTGCAACTATTCAATTATAGCATAGCATAGCATAGTGAAGTCGGCGCTGAAGAATAGGCCTGATGTGGCCTGTCGCCGATTCTTGTACTTTTCGTGACTTGTCCACAGGAGGTCTAAAAACACTTCCTTCGACCGGATCTTTTCCAAGCTGTCGATAGTTTGAAATAGCTACTAGACTTCCACCAGGTTCGACATGGTGCTAGGCATTTCAAGTCTGAACATATATTTTTCCATAGCTTTATCTAGTCTGTTCTTGAACGCGTTTGTACTCGGAGCGTCAACAATGTAATCGTGGAGGCTGTTACACATGTCGGTGATTGGAAGCGAGAATAAATGTCGCGTGGATGAGTTACAACACAGTTTTTTTAGTTTATAGCCGTGGCCCCTGTTGTTGGTTCTCGTTTCAAATTCTAGTAATCCTTCTGGGACCTCATTCTCATTCTTGACGCACTTGATGGGGTGGTCACCTACGCAGTAGACCTGAGTTGTGGATTGTGAACATTGATTTCATTCAAACCCATTGTAATGTAAACTCATTGAATTCATTCATTCATAAACTCTTTGTAAACTCATTGGATTCATTGCAACTGCGTTGCAACTCATCCACATTTCTTCTCGCTTCGAATCACCGACATGTGGAACAGCCTCCACGATTACATTGTTGTTAATCATTCTATTGATTTTGCAGGTACCACTTAACGTGCCCGAGGAGGACGGTTATAAATATTACTTCACGTCAATTATCTTCTTTTAATTAGAATGGCGCCGCGATTCGCAGTTCTGGGGTTAATTTTGCTTTCAAATTGCATTTTCGTTAGAGTTACGCGAGTGAGCCCATTACTATTCGAGAATCACCAGTTTAAGCTTATAGCATTAATTTAGCCATTACAATTATTCATTCGTTATTTCTTTTTTAAAGTGGACTATTGGTACGTTTTACTTGATTAAGCAAATAAATATTCTTCATCTTTATCATGAGCGGATGAGTTAACCCAATACATGCTCATTCAGAGAAGAATGCTAAATATTGTTCCCATTTCGTTCATTATAATTAGTGTCAGTAATTACGCTTGCATCGCATTTTATTTCGCTCCCTTGCAAAATAGATTATTTAAGCAGCGCGGGGAATTGTGCAACGGTTGACAAACCACCTCTTCAGTTGCCATGTTTCATGAGGGAATTTCTATCGTATAGACATTAGAGTTATTGAAAATCCAGTATTCTTTGCAAATCAAATTGTCGGTGACTGCAGGAAACAAACATGTCAATCTTAATGTCAGCCAATTTTTTAATGAATTTCGATACGCCTCGTGAGCAACCTCTCGTATTTACATCCTAAACATTCATCTTTGCTTAAAATTATGGCCAATAATTGGAAAGAGAAAAAAGCCAAGTAAATTTATCACACCTTCATTGCGAACGTTTTGTACCATAATCGGATTTAAAAATTGCAAGGAATACAAGTACCATCAATAAAGAAAGCCAAACCGCTTGCAGCTCACATCCTCTTAAATCGTTTACATACAGATTTTAATGTTCCTTAAAGCCGTAATTTTGCACTTTATTCTAAGCATTCTTTCAATCTGCCATGTGAATGAACTCCCAGAGGACACCAAATGTTCGCCCTCCCTTCATGCATCATCAGGAATTAGGTATCGTGCAGCAACAATTTCCAACAGCGTCAGATGCATGAATAACGAGCGTTGACTAGCTGCTTGGAGAGCAATTCATGCATACCCTCCCTCCATCGCGCCTGGCGCAAAACTGATCCGAAAGTGAAGAAAGCCTTATGGCTGCGAAGGGGGAGAGCCGGGGCATGGCGTTATAGGGACGGCGGTTTGCGCTTCTGCCCGTGGAGTGCGACAGGATTACGCCAGTCCTGCAAATAGCAGAGCAGGTTTACGATGATCCGGCGTGGCCTGCGACCAGTAAGGCTTACGGCGTGTGTAAGAAGTGATAGAATGGGGTAAAATTCTGTGGAGTAGGACCTGTTGACAATTGACTATTTGATTCAGCAGGCTGTGGAGTGAGGTAGGTGTTGCTTAAAGTTGGTGTGGGAAGATGACTCAGTTACCTACAGCTTCTTGGGTGTGAGCTGAGTTTAGTTATTGCATTATAGGGTAGGCGTTGGCGCCAGGGCTTGTTTACGAGCTAAATTTGTGGTGTAGGGCTGCGCTCCCCGTAGAGGTAGAGTTATGCCGGGGGAAAACAGCTGCGACGAACGGACGGGCTGGAGTGCTGGCTGCGTATCAACAGCGGTATGGCGTAGGGAGTTGCTTACCGAAAATCGTGATTAGGTTAGACGGCATGGGATAGAGCTGTTGGACGGTTTTCAATACGGCGTAGAGCGATTGTATTGGTGGCTTACTTCTCATTAGCTCGCTGGTTAATTTCCATGAAGGGGATTTGTACTATTGGCTTTTAACATATAATCCCTTAGTCTACTCTGCCCTTCAGCAGGCTTACGCACGGAAAGGATGATGAAAGATATGCTGGTCTTGGGCAATGCTGGCCTCCGGCATGCATCCCACCACACACAGCGACGTGGCATACTTCTGCCAGTCGCGCCTTCAGCTTCACTTGTGTTGCTGAAGTCGGCCTAACTGGGCACGGTTCCGCTCGCTTCCTTAGATTTAGAAGCTCTAGTTCAAGTGAATATATTTAGCTATATTTTACCTTGAAATGTAAGGTTTAGTGAATTAATTTGCATATAAATAGATCTTTAAACGGAAGCAGCACAACACAATTTGATCATGTGTCTGGTCGTGACAATTCAAATGGTCTCCTTCCATTTACAGGCAAACAGCAACATGTTTACATATGTTCAGAAATTGCATATATATTCCTACTCAAGTTTAACTCTTCGTATTCGAGCATTGGACTTTTCAGCACTTTATCCTATGTCTGTCGTCCTGTCATCCGACGTCTGTCGTCCTGTCATCCGACGTCTGTCG